CATTGTTGTTAATATTGCTGTTATCTTTCCTATTACCATTATCATTACCATACGAACTGCAACAAAAACAACAATGGTGATAATGATAACAATGATACTGATAATGATACAAATCAAATGAAGATGATAACTTTTAAAATCAGCAAATTTGATAGGTATGTATGATCTAAAATATGGTTTTCAAGGTCAGGTGCACCGGTATTTTGCACCAGCCAGGAAAGGAGTGATATTGCTAATGTTGAAAATAATAGACTTTAGTTTTGATTATAATGTGGCACTTGTGCTTTAAAGGAAGCTTTCTGTACTATATGATAGTCCCGCACGCACGCACGCACATATATACACATACACATGCTAACACACAGAAACACACAGACACGCACACACAGACACAAACACACACACACACACACACACACACACACACACACACACACACACACACACACACACACACACACACACACACACACACACACACACACACACACACACACACACACACACACACACACACACACACACACACACACACACACACACAGATAAATATAGATAAATAGACAGACAGACAGAGATAGGTAGATAGAAGCTCCCAGGGTTGTGAAGCAAGGGAGTATTATGCAATGTTCAAGAGACATAGGGGCCCGTCAGAGGGAGATCCTGCCCACAGCCATCCAAATTTACGCAATTTATTTTGTAACAAAGTCTGTCCTTCTTGCCGGACGCATAAAGGTTAAACTGGCATGGCTCGTGTGTTTACGGCAAAGAGGAAAAGACCTCAGGGGCATGCAGAGGTCTGGTGATGCCCGGGGCCATTTCCTTGATTTAATGCCCCGAGACTCGAGTATACTGCTACTGAAAATACTATTGAGAAAGGGAGATATTTCGAACACGTAAACACACGATGAAACAGGGAGTAAACACTTGGTTCGATTTTGAATATAAATGCCAAAGCACTTATCGTATTTTCTCTCTCTATGATTGGACCCCCCCCCCCCCCGTTACCTGGGTTAGATGCCAAGGACCATGGCACCTTCACCCCCCCCCCCAAGGACCATGGCTTCACCCCCCCCCCCCAAGGACCCGATCGCGACCCCCCACCGCCTGCGCACCACTGACAGACCTCGTCTAGTCATAACAAAGTCCTAGTCGTCAAACTATCTAAAGAACTTGGTTATGTTCTCAGTTGATGCATGAACGTTTCCTGTTGAGTTTTCACACGTCCCCAAATACGATAAGATTATGCAGACAAAAGTCAAAGAGAGAGAAAAAATAGCTAATAGAATAAAAAAAAAATAAAAAAATAGAAAAATAGAAAAAAAAAGTTTCCGATACTCTTCATTTATCTTGTGACAAAGGGAAGGACTATCTAGTGGAGTAAGATTTCTAATGAATAAAAAAAAAAATCAGTACATATGTAATTTGATCTGGGGGGTTTGTGTTGTAACGAAACTTTCAAATAAACATACTTAATATAATTTGTACGCATACACAACAACCGACGGAACCGAGAGGAGAGAGAATACAGTGAATTTACAAAACACAAAACACAAAACTTTTCTTAGGACTTCGCGCAATACGGTTTTTTTTTTTTTTTTTTTTTTTTTTTTTTTTTTTTTTTTTTTTTTTCGGGAAGAGATATGTCGTTTTTTTTTTAATATCTTAAAAGTTCATGTAATCAGAATTCTTCATACCAAACTGCCGGTAAACATTCATTACCACCATCACTATTACTTACTTACTTAATTAAGAAAATGGATGGTAACTTCGTCCATTCCTTGCATACAGGGGTAGTAAAAATAAATAAATAAATAAAAATAAATAATAAGTAAATAAATAAATAATAAATAATAAATAAATAAATAAATAAATAAATAAATAAATAATAAATAAATAAATAGATAAATAAAATAAATGAATAATAAATAAATAAATAAATAAATAAATAAATAAAAGAAAAAAGAAAGAAAATCATGAAATCATAAGCGTGAGTCACATCAAACCCTGAATAATTTTCATCATCATTATTATAAAGAACATCACTTAAAAGATTGCATGGTAATACAGATTAAATCATGATAGAAAGAAGAATATGATGAGAGAACATCTCACCGGCGTTCTTTGCTGTTCATTTGGATAAACCTTTTTCGAAATGGTGAAAAAAAACATAATATTAGAGTGATTAAAGATTTAAATTTGCAAGGTGATAGAGATTAGAAAAGTAGGTACAGTAGGTAGTTCTAAAATTAACATAGTGGTAATAATGACATAATGCTTGAGGATAGACTTATTGCTGTAAAAACAAGGGGGGATATTACATTTATGAAAATAGCAATTGAATATGTGTACTTATTTCAAATCTTGAAATAATGAAGATAATAAATCACTGAATGAAAATGATCTGGAAAGCTCTCGGTAAACTGTGTTCAACTATGCTTAAAATGAAAAGCCTGTGATCAATGAATGTCAAACCTTACAACATAGATCAAAACCGTGG